CCCGCCTCTTCACTGATCGCTACTAGGTCACTCTCCCTGAGCCGTGAGCTTTATCATACCTCTGCTTAAAGCTATGTATGGATCCCTGCCTCCACTACATCGCTTCCCAAACTATTCCACTTACTGACTACTCTGTGGCTGAAGAAATACTTCCTAACATCCCTGTGATTCATCTGTGTCTTCAGCTTCCAACTGTGTCCCCTTGTTACTGTGTCCAATCTCTGGAACATCCTGTCTTTGTCCACCTTGTCAATTCCTCTCAGTATTTTGTATGTCGTTATCATGTCCCCCCTATCTCTCCTGTCCTCCAGTGTCGTCAGGTTGATTTCCCTTAACCTCTCCTCGTAGGACATACCTCTTAGCTCTGGGACTAGTCTTGTTGCAAACCTTTGCACTTTCTCTAGTTTCTTCACGTGCTTGGCTAGGTGTGGGTTCCAAACTGGTGCCGCATACTCCAATATGGGCCTAACGTACACGGTGTACAGGGTCCTGAATGATTCCTTATTAAGATGTCGGAATGCTGTTCTGAGGTTTGCTAGGCGCCCATATGCTGCAGCAGTTATTTGGTTGATGTGCGCTTCAGGAGATGTGCCTGGTGTTATACTCACCCCAAGATCTTTTTCCTTGAGTGAGGTTTGTAGTCTCTGACCCCCGTCTGCGGCCTTTTTTGCCCTTCCCCAATCTTCATGACTTTGCACTTGGTGGGATTGAACTCCAGGAGCCAATTGCTGGACCAGGTCTGCAGCCTGTCCAGATCCCTTTGTAGTTCTGCCGGGTCTTCGATCGAGTGAATTCTTCTCATCAACTTCACGTCATCTGCAAACAGGGACACCTCAGAGTCTATTCCTTCCGTCATGTCGTTCACAAATACCAGAAACAGCACTGGTCCTAGGACTGACCCTGCGGGACCCCGCTGGTCACAGGTGCCCACTCTGACACCTCGCCACGTACCATGACTCGCTGCTGTTTTCCTGACAAGTATTCCCTGATCCATTGTAGTGCCTTCCCTGTTATCCCTGCTTGGTCCTCCAGTTTTTGCACCAATCTCTTGTGTGGAACTGTGTCAAAACGCCTTCTTGCAGTCCAAGAAAATGCAATCCACCCACCCCTCTCTCTCTTGTCTTACTGCTGTCCACCATGTCATAGAACTCCAGTAGGTTTGTGACACAGGGATTTCCCGTCCCTGAAACCATGTTGGCTGCTGTTGATGAGATCATTCCTTTCTAGGTTTCCACCACTCTTCCTCCTGATAATCTTCTCCATGATTTTGCATACTATACATGTCAGTGACACTGGTCTGTAGTTTAATGCTTCATGTCTGTCTCCTTTTTTAAAGATTGGGACTACATTTGCTGTCTTCCATGCCTCAGGCAATCTCCCTGTTTCGATAGATGTATTGAATATTGTTGTTAGGGGTACACATAGCGCCTCTGCTCCCTCTCTCAATACCCATGGGGAGATGTTATCTGGCCCCATTGCCTTTGAGGTATCTAGCTCACTCAGAAGCCTCTTCACTTCTTCCTCGGTTGTGTGCACTGTGTCCAGCACTTGGTGGTGTGCCCCACCTCTCTCCGTCTTTCTGGAGTCCCTTCTGTCTCCTCTGTGAACACTTCTTTGAATCTCTTGTTGAGTTCTTCACATACTTCACGGTCATTTCTTGTTGTCTCTCCTCCTTCCTTCCTTAGCCTGATTACCTGGTCCTTGACTGTTGTTTTTCCTCCTGATGTGGCTGTACAACAGTTTCGGGTCAGTTTTGGCTTTCGCTGCTATGTCATTTTCATTTTGTCTTTGGGCCTCCCTTCTTATCTGGGGCATATTCGTTTTCTGGCTCTACGATGTTTCTTATTCTCCTGGGTCCTTTGCCTTCTATATTTCTTCCATTCCCTAGCACACTTGTTTTTGCCTCCCTGCACCTTTGGGTAAACCATGGGCTCATCCGGGCCTTTTTCATTAATCCTTTTAAACCCTTTGGGTACAAACCTCTCCCACCCTCCTTGCATTTTGTTGCTACATATTCCATCATCTCTTTAAACTGCTTCCCTCCAGTTCTCTGTGTATGTGGTGTGTGTGTGGTGGTAGTGTGTGGTATGTGTGTGTGTGTGTGTTGTGTGTGTATGTGTGTGTGTATGTGTGTGTGTGTGTGTGTATGTGTGTGTGTGGTATTGTGTGTGTGTTATGTGTGTGTGTGTATGTGTGTGTGTATGTTTTGTGTGTGTTTTATGTGTGTGTGTTTTGTGTGTGTGTGTGTATGTGTGTGTGTATATGTGTGTGTGTTGTGTGTATGTGTGTGTGTATGTATGTGTTGTGTGTGTGTGTGTGTTTTGTGTGTGTATGTGTGTGTATGTGTGTGTGTGTGTTGGTGTGTGTGTGTTGTGTGTGTGTGTGTGTTGTGTGTGTTGTGTGTGTGTGTGTTTTGTGTGTGGTGTGTGTGTGTCAGTATTCCATCCCACAGTGCTATCACTCTGCTAGAAGACCGAGTAAACACCAGAGTAAAATCTCAGCAATGATATTGATAACAAGATAGTGTCACATTCGATACGGTCTTGTTATCACAGTGAAATAGCGACGTTTACCTCAGAAGGATGTGCTGGATTATGGGCTTAGTGATGTTTTGAGAACTAATGTATTACAGATTCCTCTTTCCCACTTCGAATTTAACACTGTGATATCTTCGTTTTATGTTTTTCTTTACCACATGATGGCAATGTTTTTCTTCACCACATGATGGTAATGTTTTGTTTTTCTTCACCACATGATGGCAATGTTTTGTTTTTCTTCACCACATGATGGGGAAGTTTTGGGTTTTTTTTCACCACATGATGGCAATGTTTTGTTTTTCTTCACCACATGATGGTAATGTTTTGTTTTTCTTCACCACATGATGGTAATGTTTTGTTTTTCTTCACCATATGATGGTAATTTTTTGTTTTTCCCTTTACCACAAAATGGTAAAAGTTTTGTTTTTCTTCACCACATGATGGTAATGTTTTGTTTTTCTTCACCACATGATGGTAATGTTTTGTTTTTCTTCACCATATGATGGCAATGTTTTGTTTTTCTTGGCCATTTGATGGTATTGTTTTGTTTTTCTTCACCATATGATTGTAATGTTTTGTTTTTCTTCACCACATGATGGCAATGTTTTGTTTTTCTTGGCCATTTGATGGTAATGTTTTGTTTTTCTTCACCACATGATGGTAATGTTTTGTTTTTCTTGGCCATTTGATGGTAATGTTTTGTTTTTCTTCACCACATGATGGTAATGTTTTGTTTTTCCTTTGGGCCCTTTGATGGTAATGTTTTTTTTTTTCTTCACCACATGATGGTAATGTTTTGTTTTTTTTGGCCTTTGATGTAATGTTTTGTTTTCTTCACCACATGATGGTAATGTTTTGTTTTCTTGGCCCCTTTGATGGTAATGTTTTGTTTTTCTTCACCACATGATGGTAATGTTTTTTTTTTTCTTCACCACATGATGGTAATGTTTTGTTTTTCTTCACCACATGATGGTAATGTTTTGTTTTTCTTCACCACATGATGGTAATGTTTTGTTTTTCTTCACCACATGATGTCAATGTTTTGTTTTTCTTCACCACATGATGTCAATGTTTTGTTTTTCTTCACCACATGATGTCAATGTTTTGTTTTTCTTCACCACATGATGGCAATGTTTTGTTTTTCTTGGCCATTTGATGGTAATGTTTTGTTTTTCTTCACCACATGATGTCAATGTTTTGTTTTTCTTCACCACATGATGGTAATGTTTTGTTTTTCTTCACCACATGATGTCAATGTTTTGTTTTTCTTCACCACATGATGTCAATGTTTTGTTTTTCTTTCACCACATGATGTCAATGTTTTTGTTTTCTTCACCACATGATGTCAATGTTTTGTTTTTCTTCACCACATGATGGTAATGTTTTGTTTTTCTTCACCACATGATGGTAATGTTTTGTTTTTCTTCACCACATGATGGTACTGTTTTGTTTTTCTTCACCACATGATGGTAATGTTTTGTTTTTCTTCACCACATGATGGTACTGTTTTGTTTTTCTTCACCACATGATGGTAATGTTTTGTTTTTCTTCACCACATGATGGTAATGTTTTGTTTTTCTTCACCATATGATGGCAATGTTTTGTTTTTCTTCACCATATGATGGTAATGTTTTGTTTTTCTTCACCACATGATGGTAATGTTTTGTTTTTCTTTACATGATAATGTTTTGTTTTTCTTCACCACGTGATGGTAACATCTTTATCTATAGCGTTACGTTTGAAGCCTCTAGTTTCCTGATCAACTATACACTCTAAGTGCTTAGTTGGTCAGCTTGCTTATTAGGCTCAAAGTGTATCGACTAAACGAAGGTCATTATGGATGCTTGTCGCTTGTATACGACCAATTAGCAATATTTTAATCACTTCAACTGAAATTAAAGCAAATTTTCGATAAACATTTAGTGCGAGATGTAAACCTCTCAGTGTTTATATACTTGTGGGTTTTTTAAACCTGGTTAGCTAGTTAACTACGTCGTTAAGCCGTCAACAATATTTTAATCACTAAAACTAGGCTTTAAGGAAGTTCTCTGTGTGAATTCACTGAGAAACATACATCCCTCGGTGTTTAGATTCTCGTTATTATCCTGTTTCTCCAAAAAAAAAAAAAAACTAGTTTGGTTTTAGGGAGAATTTCTGTTTTTTTTTTTTTCTGTTTAATAGAAATTTATTTATTGTAATTATTCTGTTTTTTTATGCATTTCTAATGTGACATATTTTTTTTTGTGATTAAAAGTATTCTCATAATTAATATTTTTCGTGAAAAAATAATTTATTGTAATTAAAACCCTCATTTTTGTGTATTTTTTCATGGAATATTAATTAATTGTGACGTAAACCTAGTTTTTTGTTCTTGTTGGATCTAATTGATCACTATTTTTTCTAATTAAAAAATGACTCATTTTTTTCTTGTGGATTCTAATTAATTGTATTGTGTGTCACCAGTTACCTTCACGACGTCACGGAGAAGAACAAGATGGTTCGCTTACACGGAGACGGTTCTATCACGTACGGGATGCGGTTCACCACAACTCTAGCCTGCATGATGGACCTTCACTACTACCCACTAGACAGCCAAAACTGCACCGTTGAAATTGAGAGTTGTGAGTTAATGAACCCTGGAGGGAGAGGGGGAGATAAGAGAAATCACGAGAGAGAGAGAGAGAGAGAGACAGAGACAGAGAGGGAGGTGATAAGAAGCGATATACAGAGAGGGAATGAGGATGGATGATAAGATAGATTGTGCCAGTAAGTAGATGAGGAAGGAAGGGAAAGGGAGAAGTACGTTAAAGGGAGTAGAGGGAGAGAGGTAGGAACTAACAACAATACACAGCTCTGGTGGTAAAAATAAAATTAGGATCCTTGTATCTCTGAGGTGACCTTTTCCAAGTAACTTAAGGTTTTACCTGACTAATTTTTTAAAGGGGTGAACCGGTAAGCCAGCGGAAAGCCTCGGTCAGATGACCAAAAGCTCCAGTGGCGGGTCAGGAAACACTTGTCCTGTTTCCTGACGCACCTTACCTAACCTAACCAAGTCACGAATTTTATGAGGATCTGAGCGAAACGTTGTCCAAATAAACCTTTCCTTTGCATCGTTTTCGTCTTTCAAACCAACACACACACACACAGACAAACTCCTGGACAGCGAAACGTTGCACATGTGTCCTTTTACCTAACACCACACTTCCAAAACGCATTCAGCAGACAACTGAAAAATATCAGCTTTAGACACCTCGAGTAATAAGACAGAGAGACTCCCATTACTGTTTATAGAAGATTACTCAGTCACCTCGCTACACTGGTCATATATATAGGTAAGGAATCACTTGGGCAGCAAATTGGCAAAAAAGCCACTTGTCATTTAAATACCTCTCACTTAATTACCTTTCACTTATATACCTCTCACTTAAATACCTCTCACTTATTTACCTCTCACTTAAATACCTCTCACTTAAATACCTCTCACTTAAATACCTCTCACTTAAATACATCTCATTAAATACCTCTCACTTTAATACCTCATTTAAATATCTCTCACTTAATTACCTCTCACTTAAATACCTCTCATTTAAATACCTCTCACTTAAATACCTCTCACTTAAATACATCTCATTTAAATACCTCTCCACTTTAATTACCTCATTAAATATCCTCTCACTTAAATACCTCTCACTTAAATACCTCTCACTTAAATACCTCCTTAAATACCTCTCACTATACTCATAATACTCTCACTTAATACCTCACTTAAATACCTCTCACTTAAATACCTCACTTAAATACATCTCACTTAAATACCCCTCACTCAAATACCTCTCATTTAAATACCTCTCATTTAAATACCTCTCATTTAAATACCCCTCACTTAAATACCTCTCATAAATACCCCTCACTTAAATTCCCCTCGCTTAAATATCCCTTACCTAAATATCCCTTAAACATCTATTAAATAATTTAAAACCATGTACTTAATATGTGTGTATTGGGAATCCATATGTATCACACTTATTTATATATAACACTTATATGTGCGAAAACTACATATATGCATCAAATATGCAATTTCCATTTTAACTTACCATAATATACGATCGACATCCAATTTAAAAATTTTGCAAGACGCCTAAAAATAATTAAAAAAATGAGGGTGCGGAAGTAGTTTTTCTTTTCTTATCGCTCATATTCCGTTATCGTCAGACTTTATTTGCAGTTTCCGTAAATATGACCTCCTTGTGTGTCTCCATGTTTTATAAATAATTATCAAAATTACCAGATATTTATATATGCCTTCAATAAATAAACACAAAGAAACTGAAAGTATAAAGGTGTCCAGTCCATAGCCTAAGGGGTAATGGTATTCTATTGTCATTGAGCTTGAAGGCGTTGCCTCTCTGGATCGTAACGGTAAGGAGCAAATTAATGTTACTTTTTACTACCTCTACGCATTTCCTAACAACATTGTAATGTATGATTTCCTGAGGTGAATGTCCCCTCAGTTCCCAGGTTTATCGAATACCAGCTAGAAATGTCCCTAGTCTCTTCTGTTACTCATGAAGGAATGCTAAACCTATATGGTTCATATAGAGCCAGGGAACTGAGGGAAGCAGATTTGATCTGATGAACGGGAGGATACGTCCAATTCCTTTGACCAAGAGCTCTACACTAGCATCAGTGCACCTTTAAAAAGTTATACTTTTATAACTCTCTTATTTATTCTAGTTTTCCCCATTTCTCTCTCTTTCCCCCACTATTTCCATTCTCTCTTCTATTAGACATAGAATTGCAAAACCGATAAATTTGTTCTAATGATTCTAATCAAAAAGTTTCTCCAATGCTTGGTTCATTCCGGGTGACTATTAGGTTCAGCTTGACTGCCACACTTCCTCCTCACCCTCGTGTGGTTTGTGTTTGTGTGATTTACCTGCTTGTGATTATCTGTTTGTTGTAACAGAAGCAGAACTATTTTTGTAGCTACCTGTTTTCGATAAAAAATAATAATAATAATAATAATAATAATAATAATAATAATAATAATAATATTATTATTATTATTATTATTATTATTATTATTATTATTATATTATTATCTTTGGCATTTTAGCCGTTATTTCTCTGATGTCACCAACAATAGTAGACTAACACCCAGGAATCTTTATTTTACTGTTAGGTGAACAGGAGCACCAAGTGTGAGGAGATATGACCGAACGTCTCGCCTTGCCCAAGCATCAAACTTTGGATCTTTCCAATGACCTGTGTGTGTGTGTGTGTGTGTGTGTGTGTGTGTGTGTGTGTGGTGTGTGTGTGTGTGTGTGTGTTCTGTGAGAGTGTGTGTGTGAACCGACCCTGATCCTGGGCGTGCGATTTCGCAATCCTCTCCAGCTACCTTTCTTCTCCTGCCTACTCCTCTTTTTTCCTGGCTTCCTGGAAGGAAATGAAATGTTCTGATAACTACCACCAGGAGGGCCTCAAAACACACTGCAACAAAATAGTGTATATATATCAGTCGAGAGGAAAAGCAACGTTTGTGGTGTGTGTGTGTGTGTGTGTGTGTGTGTGTGTGTGTGTGTGTGTGTGTGTGTGTGTGTGTGTGTGTGTGTGTGTGTGTGTGTGTGCTATTATTATTATTATTGTTATATTCATAGGGAAGCAGTAAAGCGGTCAGTGAAACACGGTCTGGGGACTGGAAGGTAACTAGGATCAGTGTAGGGAAGGAGAGACCATCTCCAAAGCCTTTGCCTTTGACTAGGAGCATTTTCCCAGCAACAAGGTGAAGAATCCCTGGGTCAATCCTAATTACTTCCCATTCCCCAGGCGCTGTATGACCCGTACGGTTTAGCGCTTCCTATGAATATATTAATGATTTAGCTTTTATACCCCGCTCACACGCACGTATAGTGAAATACACAAACACACACACACACACACACACACACACACACACACACACACACACCACACACACACACACACACACACACACACTCACCGGTCGTCTCCCACCGATGTAGGGTGACCCGAAAAAGAAATATTTTCACCATCACTCATTCCATCACCGTCTAGCCAGAAATGTGTCGATGACAATACAACTCAAATGCCCTTCCAAACTATAATATCGCCACCGCTCCTTCAGAGTACAGGCACAGTACTTCCCACTTCCAGTATTCCCTTCACACAATATTACCCTGCTCACACTCCAACAGCTCGTCAGGTCCCCAAACCCATTCGCCTCCATTCACTCCTATCTAAGACGCTCACACAAAACCTTCTTTACCTCCTCACTCCAACCATTCCTAGGACGACACCTACCCCGCCATCCCTCCGCAACAGATTTATACACCCTCTAAGTCATCCTATTTTCCTTCATTCTTCCAAATGTCCTAACCACCTCATTAACCCCTCTTCGGCTCTCTGGATAATATTCTTAGTAACCCCGCACCTCCTAACCTCCAAACTATGAATTCTCTGCATCATATTCACACCTCACTTTGCCCTCAGACAAGACATCTCCACTTCCTCCAGACTTCTTGCTGCAACTTTCAAAACCCATACTTCACGCTCATATAAGAGTGTTGTACCATTATAATGTCATTCAGTTCCCTTTTTGCCTCCATGGACCAGTTCTTTGTCTCCACAGATGCCCCAGTGCACCTCATCTTTTGCCCCTTGTCAATTCTATGGTTCACCTCCATGGACCAGTTCTTTGTCTCCACAGATGCCCCAGTGCACCTCATCTTTTGCCCCTTGTCAATTCTATGGTTCACCTCGTCATTCACAGACCCGTCCGCCGACGAGTCCATTCTCAGATATCTGAAAACATTCGCGTTCTCCATGCTCCTTCTTCCAGTCTGGCATCCAGTTTTTAATTACCTATTTTTTTTTATTCTTATCAAATTATTCTTTCCTATGTTCACTTTTAATTACTTTTCAAATACCCTCCAAAATTCGTCCACCATCCTTTGCAACTTTTCTTTAGAATCTCCGAAAAGTACAGCGTCATCACAAAAATGTAACCGAGACAAGTCCCACTTTGTGTTAGATTCTTTATCTTGTAATTCCAAACCTCCCTGCAACACCCCTGCATTCATTTCTTTTACAACCTCATCTATAAATATGTTAAACAACCATGGTGACATTACGCATCTTACTGAACCATGATGACATCACGCCTACGTCACCAAGGTGACATTCACGCCTACTCTTACTGAAAAATAATCTCCCGCACTCCTATATACCATAATCTGAGCTCTTTACTATTTTCAGTAACCTACCGCCTATTCCATACACTTGCAACATCTACCACATTCCCTCCCCTATGCGCCCTATCATATTCCATAAATGCAACGAAACCATCCTTACCCTTATCAGAATATTGTTCACATATATGCTTCAATGTAAGCATTTGGTCTACAATCCTCTAACCTTCACACACAACACACACACACACACATACACATACACACACACCACACACACACACACACACACACACATATATATATATATATATATATATATATATATATATATATATATATATATATATAATATATATATATATATATATATATATATATGTGTGTGTGTGTTGTGTGTGTGTGTACTCACCTATTTGTACCCACCTATTTGTGGTTGCAGGGTCGAGTCCTAGCTCCTGGCCCCGCCTCTTCACCGGTTGCTACTAGGCCCTCTCTCTCCCCGCTCCATGAGCTTGATCAAACCTCGTCTTAAAACTGTGTATGGTTCCTGCCTCCAACTACGTCATTTTCTAGGCTATTCCACTGCCTTACAACTCTATGACTGAAGAAATACTTCCTACTATCTCTCTGACTCATTTGTGAGTCATTTGTGTGTGTGTGTGTGTGTGTGTGTGTGTGTGTGTGTGTGTGTGTGTGTGTGTGTGTGTGTGTGTGTGTTCTGATTTAGTTTATTCAATATATCTTTGAGAGTCACTGAGAGAACAAAACACAAACACCAGGAATAATATCAATTTTAAAAAAAGCTGAATTTTTCTCTCACTTGCATTTCCATTGTAATGGAGTTGTGGCTGAGGATGAAATTTCACTCAGGAGGACGACCCTCAGTGCCTTTGGTACTGAGGGTTGTGGTTGAGGGTGGTGGCTGTGGGTGGTAATTGAAGTTGCTGAGTGTAAGCCGTGGTTGTAAGGGGTTGATAAGGGGTTGTACGTAGTGGTCGTTTGTGTTGGTGGTGCTGGTGCTAGTGGTCGTCGCCGTCGATGGATAGTAGTTTCAATTTTTATCCAACGGCAAATCATGACAAAACGACAGCTGGCCAGCAGATAGAAGCTTGAGAGTCGTAACGCCGACAGGAATAATACAGACACACAGATTTGTTTAACAAACTTAAGCAGGTGAATGAGTGCAATCATAAGAGAACCTTACTTTACGTTTGGGGTATTTCAGTAATCCACTGACTTCCTATCTCGAATATATATAAATCAAAGTATATAATATTCTAAATTATATAATGGAATACAAAATTTGTCAGGCCGTCGTTGCAGTAATCTATTATATATATATATATATATATATATATATATATATATATATATATATATATATATATATATATATATATATATATATATATATATATATATATTATATATATATTATATATACATGTAAATAAGACGCTAGTTCAAGACTGTTGTGCAGCGTTGCTGGGGGTTTCGTCAGTTAGTGACAAAACTACCAGCGAGCTGAACTTTGGTCATATTTCCTTATACCTATTGCCCCTGTTCACTTACCAGTAGGTAGGTACCTGGGTGTTATTCGATTGGTGTGGGTTGCATCCCGTGGGGTGGTAGTATACCCTAGGTAGGGTATACTACCTAAAATGTTCGTGTCACACAAGTGGCAATGTTTTTATTGCTCGTAAAGAGCATTTTCGTAGCAGTTGTGAGTGTACTTTCTCAACAAATACTTTACTAATACGAAAACTCTAGCATTAAAGAAATTATTCTTATTGTAATCCTTGCTATTATTCAGAGGTGTACATGTAATTCCTGACATATATCACTTTTGTAATTATTGGTATTTAGGTAGATAAGGTATGGTGAGAGGACACATACTTGACTTAATGAGGCATTTTTTAAGGCAACATTTCGTCTGCCAGAGGTTTTGTCAGGCTGATACATGCATTACATGGATACAGCAAGTATATAAATGAAAGGGTAATAGCATCAATAAATGTAGAGTAGTAGTAGTAGTAGTAGTAAAAGTAATTACGGGGGTGTCTCGAATAAAGACGGTGTCGTGTATCTGGAGTAAGATTCGTGTTAGATTCTCGATTATAATAAAGTTGCCTTTATCTTATGTAACAGGATGTGAGGGCTGCCTCCACGCACTTGCACCTCTCTGTATCTGGTTCTGGCACAACCAGATGAGCATTCTTCCATCTCATATGTTGGTTAGTGGAGGTATGATGCTGCAGCACGTAGGCGTTGTCCAGGTTGTCGGTGGCACATCTGCTGCTATAAATTTGTTCGTTCAGGCAGCTTCAGGGGTGCAGGATTTTCTCTAATGTGCCTTACTATCCTCCACCCAGGGAATGATGTAAACACCAGGGTGGAATGCTTCTTGATGCTAGATATTAGTTTTCGTGAGGTTCTTAATTTAAACACGAGCGATGGTGACGAATGTAGAGACATTTTGGGCAATTACTACTACGACTACTACTACAGTTTACATTACTCTATATATACTCATTATGTCTATGTATAAGGCATTTATTATGTTGCTGTAATAAATGCCTTATTAAGGTCCATAGTGTCCACTTGCCTAATGAAAACACTTGGCTTATATGGTGCATTGCCAACGAGTACGAAGACCATGACACAAGTTGCAGAATAAGCTTTGCTCGGGACGGCGTTTCGCTCATTATCAGGTCATAATTTGATAAGCTTCTACAAGGAGAGGGAAACGTGTTCTTTGCGTTCATAACACTCTTGTTATTCCCACAGACGGGTACACGGTAGCTGACGTGGTCATGTACTGGAAGGACATTCCTGTAGTGGGGGTTGAAGAGGCGGAGCTGCCCCAGTTCACCATCATGGGTTACGAGGCCAACGACCGCACGGAAGAGTTGGCCACCGGTGTCTACCGACGCCTCTCCATTAGCTTCAATCTACAGCGAAACATCGGCTACTTCGTCTTCCAGACGTACCTGCCCAGCATCTTGATCGTCATGCTCTCCTGGGTGTCTTTCTGGATCAACCACGAGGCCACCTCCGCCAGAGTGGCTCTGGGTGGGTAGCTGCTGTAGGAGAGGGGAGAGGGTTGGGCAGGTATTAATCCTACTTGGGGTCTTGAGTTCAAAGGTAATCCACCAGAGAAGTTTTGTTGACAGGTATGTGTAATGTCTCAGAGATATATCTGTCCACCTTTTTCAGGAATAACTAACACATTGCAGACAAAAATTTAACGACATCTGGGTCTGTTTTGGACTATTATCAAATCAGAATTTGAGAATAATGATTTGATAATGGTCCGGTAATTGTAAAGGTTTCCTCTCTAACATATGGGTTATTCGTGTACTGTTCCAGTCACGCTATTGTGGTTTTATTCGACTATCCGCCTCTTCTTATGCCACACTAGAAGTCTATATGTGTGTGTGCGAAGTGAAAGAGAATAAGTTAAGCAGAAGGTTGGCGAGTTAGCATCTGCTGGGAGAAAGGTTGGTTAGTTAATAGTGATGAGGACGTAGTAAAGATGAGGTGTGAATTTAAGAATGCACTGTTAATAGGCAGCATAGAAGTTGGTGATTACAGAGGTGGGTGGAGGAGAGAAAGAGAACATTAGCGAAATGTTAAGTTGAAAATGCGATAAGGGAGTAAAAAATTGCATACGAAAAGCTTTTACAGTGTAAGCAGAGAAGAAGAGAAAAGTCAAAGGGAGTATGAAAGAGTGCAAGAAAAGTGCAAATAAGAGAAAAGGTGAATATATATCAGGAAACTTTTCTGACAAGAATAAACAGTTTTAGAAAGAAATTTCGTAAGTGTGATGACTAAATGGATTAATTGATGTGATAATGTTATATTCATAGATAAGCGCTAGATCAGTATGGGTTACACGGTATCTGGGAAGTGGAAGATACTCAGGCTTGATCCAGGGAAGAATAGATCCAACAGTGAAAGTTTTATGATGCTGAATATGGAATTAAGAGATATTAGAAAGATTATAAGAATTTTATGAGCTAAACATGTGTAAAGAATTAGACACATGTTCAACACTTGGGTAACTTTATTGAGGAAACGTTTCGCCACACAGTGGCTTCATCAGTCCTAAACAAAGAAGAATGAAGATCATGAGTATGAGGAAATCAGTCCCTCAGCCTAGAGTCAATGTAATCAGTCCACCAACCTTGAAAAGAATACATTATATGCGCGAAGAAGTGACTTAAATACTATAGGCAGGTGAGATGCATCAGTCGTAGGCGATATCACAGTGGACAAATCCACATGTGGAAGTCATGACTATAGGTTAGGTAAATGAAGAATTCCCTGTATCAAGATCCCAAGAAGTGAATATGGAGACGGATGAGATTGAAACTTCAATGGTGACAGTAAGCTGGGAAATGCTGAGAGTTGTTCAGTGTGTATGAACGATGATGAGGTACTTAGGATTTGGTAGACAGCAGTAGTTCCTTGGTGACAGCAGTTGTTTCTTGGTGACAGCAGTAGTTTCTTGGTGACAGCAGTAGTTTCTTGGTGACAGCAGTAGTTTCTTGGTGACAGCAGTAGTTTCTTGGTGACAGCAGTAGTTTCTTGGTGACAGCAGTAGTTTCTTGGTGACAGCAGTAGTTTCTTGGTGACAGCAGTAGTTTCTTGGTGACAGCAGTAGTTTCTTAGTGACAGCAGTAGTTTCTTGGTGACAGCAGTAGTTTCTTGGTGACAGCAGTAGTTTCTTGGTGACAGCAGTAGTTTCTTGGTGACAGCAGTAGTTCCTTGGTGACAGCAGTAGTTCCTTGGTGACAGCAGTAGTTTCTTGGTGACAGCAGTAGTTTCTTGGTGACAGCAGTAGTTCCTTGGTGACAGCAGTAGTTCCTTGGTGACAGCAGTAGTTCCTTGGTGACAGCAGTAGTTTCTTGGTGACAGCAGTAGTTCGTTGGTGACAGCAGTAGTTTCTTGGTGACAACAGTAGTTCCTTGGTGACAGCAGTAGTTCCTTGGTGACAGCAGTAGTTTCTTGGTGACAGCAGTAGTTCCTTGGTGACAGCAGTAGTTCCTTGGTGACAGCAGTAGTTCCTTGGTGACAGCAATAGTTCCTTGGTGACAGCAGTAGTTTCTTGGTGACAGCAGTAGTTTCCTGGTGACAGCAGTAGTTCCTTGGTGACAGCAGTAGTTTCTTGGTGACAGCAGTAGTTTCTTGGTGACAGCAGTAATTTCTTGGTGACAGCAGTAGTTTCTTGGTGACAGCAGTAGTTTCCTTGGTGACACGCAGTAGTTTCTTGGTGACAGCAGTAGTTTCTTGGTGACAGCAGTAGTTCTTGGTGACAGCTGTAGTAGTTTTCTTGGTGACAGCAGTAGTTTTCCTGGTGACAGCAGTAGTTTCTTGGTGACAGCAGTAGTTTCTTGGTGACAGCAGTAGTTTCTTGGTGACAGCAGTAGTTTCTTGGTGACGGCAGTAGTTCCTTGGTGACAGCAGTAGTTTCTTGGTGACAGCAGTAGTTCCTTGGTGACAGCAGTAGTTTCTTGGTGACAGCAGTAGTTTCTTGGTGACAGCAGTAGTTTCTTGGTGACAGCAGTAGTTTCTTGGTGACAGCAGTAGTTTCTTGGTGACAGCAGTAGTTCCTTGGTGACAGCAGTAGTTCCTTGGTGACATCAGTAGTTTCTTGGTGACAGCAATAATTGTGACAGCAGTAGTTTCTTGGTGACAGCAGTAGTTCCTTGGTGACAGCAGTTGTTTCTTGGTGACAGCAGTAGTTTCTTGGTGACAGCAGTAGTTTCTTGGTGACAGCAGTAGTTTCTTGGTGACAGCAGTAGTTTCTTGGTGACAGCAGTAGTTTCTTGGTGACAGCAGTAGTTTCTTGGTGACAGCAGTAGTTTCTTGGTGACAGCAGTAGTTTCTTGGTGACAGCAGTAGTTTCTTAGTGACAGCAGTAGTTTCTTGGTGACAGCAGTAGTTTCTTGGTGACAGCAGTAGTTTCTTGGTGACAGCAGTAGTTTCTTGGTGACAGCAGTAGTTCCTTGGTGACAGCAGTAGTTCCTTGGTGACAGCAGTAGTTTCTTGGTGACAGCAGTAGTTCCTTGGTGACAGCAGTAGTTCCTTGGTGACAGCAGTAGTTCCTTGGTGACAGCAGTAGTTCCTTGGTGACAGCAGTAGTTTCTTGGTGACAGCAGTAGTTTCTTGGTGACAGCAGTAGTTTCTTGGTGACAACAGTAGTTTCCTTGGTGGACTGGCAGATAGTTCCTTGGTGACAGCAGTAGTTTCTTGGTGACAGCAGTAGTTCCTTGGTGACAGCAGTAGTTCCTTGGTGACAGCAGTAGTTCCTTGGTGACAGCAATAGTTCCTTGGTGACAGCAGTAGTTTCTTGGTGACAGCAGTAGTTTCCTGGTGACAGCAGTAGTTCCTTGGTGACAGCAGTAGTTTCTTGGTGACAGCAGTAGTTTCTTGGTGACAGCAGTAATTTCTTGGTGACAGCAGTAGTTTCTTGGTGACAGCAGTAGTTTCTTGGTGACAGCAGTAGTTTCTTGGTGACAGCAGTAGTTTCTTGGTGACAGCAGTAGTTTCTTGGTGACAGCAGTAGTTTCTTGGTGACAGCAGTAGTTTCCTGGTGACAGCAGTAGTTTCTTGGTGACAGCAGTAGTTTCTTGGTGACAGCAGTAGTTTCTTGGTGACAGCAGTAGTTTCTTGGTGACGGCAGTAGTTCCTTGGTGACAGCAGTAGTTTCTTGGTGACAGCAGTAGTTCCTTGGTGACAGCAGTAGTTTCTTGGTGACAGCAGTAGTTTCTTGGTGACAGCAGTAGTTTCTTGGTGACAGCAGTAGTTTCTTGGTGACAGCAGTAGTTTCTTGGTGACAGCAGTAGTTTCTTGGTGACAGCAGTAGTTCCTTGGTGACAGCAGTAGTTCCTTGGTGACAGCAGTAGTTTCTTGGTGACAGCAGTAATTGTGACAGCAGTAGTTTCTTGGTGACAGCAGTAGTTTCCTTGGTGACAGCAGTAGTTTCTTGGTGACAGCAGTAGTTTCTTGGTGACAGCAGTAGTTTCTTGGTGACAGCAGTAGTTTCTTGGTGACAGTAGTAGTTTCTTGGTGAGAGCAGTAGTTTCTTGGTGACAGCAGTACTTCCTTGGTGACACCAGTACTTCCTTGGTGACAGCAGTACTTCCTTGGTGACAGCAGTACTTCCTTGGTGACAGCAGTAGTTTCTTGGTGACAGCAGTAGTTTCTTGGTGACAGCAGTAGTTTCTTGGTGACAGCAGTAGTTGTGACAGCAGCAGTTTCTTGGTGACAGCAGTAGTTTCTTGGTGACAGCAGTAGTTGTGACAGCAGACGTTCCTTGGTGACAGCAGTAGTTTCTTGGTGACAGCAGTAGTTGTGACAGCAGTAGTTTCTTGGTGACAGCAGTAGTTTCTTGGTGACAGCAGTAGTTTCTTGGTGACAGCAGTAGTTTCTTGGTGACAGCAGTAGTTTCTTGGTGACAGCAGTAGTTTCTTGGTGACAGCAGTAGTTTCTTGGTGACAGCAGTAGTTTCTTGGTGACAGCAGTAGTTTCTTGGTGACAGCAGTAGTTGTGACAGCAGTAGTTTCTTGGTGACAGCAGTAGTTCCTTGGTGACAGCAGTAGTTTCTTGGTGACGCAGTAGTTTCTTGGTGACAGCAGTATGGTTTCTTGGTGACAGCAGTAGTTTCTTGGTGACAGCAGTAGTTCCTTGGTGACAGCAGTAGTTCCTTGGTGACATCAGTAGTTTCTTGGTGACAGCAATAATTGTGACAGCAGTAGTTTCTTGGTGACAGCAGCAATTTCTTGGTGACAGCAGTAGTTTCTTGGTGACAGCAGTAGTTTCTTGGTGACAGCAGTAATTGTGACAGCAGTAGTTTCTTGGTGACAGCATTAGTTTCTTGGTGACAGCCGTAGTTTCTTGGTGACAGCAGTAGTTTCTTGGTGACAGCAGTAGTTTCTTGGTGACAGCAGTAGTTCCTTGGTGACAGCAGTAGTTTTTTGGTGACAGCAGTAGTTTTTTGGTGACAGCAGCAGTTCCTTGGTGACAGCAGTAGTTCCTTGGTGACAGCAGTAGCTTTTTGGTGACAGCAGTAGTTCCTGGGTGACAGCAGTAGTTCCTTTCTACTTTGTTCACTGTACACTGCTGTCGCCATCACTGTCACCACACATTACAGGCATGACAACTGTACTCACCACCATCATGCGTTACAGACAATACCACTGTACTCGCCACCATTATGCGCCGTAATCACCATCACTGCCACCATGCACCGCAGGCATCACCACCGTACTCACCACTAGCACTCACTGCAGGTACCACCACTATACTCACCATCGCCACACATTACACGCATCACACTATACTCATCACCACGCATAACAGTCATCACCACTATACTCACCACCACCCCACATTTCAGGCATCACCACTGTTCTCACCACCACCCCACATTGCAGGCATCACCACTGTTCTCACCATGACAACCATCAGTACGGGTGTCAGGTCTTCCTTACCAAGAATTTCCTACGTCAAGGCCATAGATATTTACCTGGTGATGTGTTTCGTCTTCGTGTTCGCGGCGCTCCTGGAGTACGCTGCCGTCAACTACACTTACTGGGGCCAGAGAGCCAAGAAGAAAGCCAAGAAGATGAAGGAGAGTAATGGCCAACAGAACAAGCAGTCTCCTGCCATCAAGGCTGATGGTGTGGCTGCTAATGAGGAAATTATTGAGCTACAGGACATACGCATGTCACCCATCCCGTCTATCAGGTGAGTCTATCGTGTCCATTAGGTGAGCTTAATATATATATCTGTTAGGTTATTTTATTCTGTCTATCAAGTGACTGTGCCATGTGAGGTGATATTCCATCTATCAAGTGAATGTGATCTGTCTATTACGTGAGCTTGATGCATCTGTCAGGTGATAATCCATCTATTAGGTGAGCTCGTCTCATCTCTCCTGAGAGCTCAATAAGTATCTCAGGAGTGGTCATGACATTTATCAGATGACTCTACTCCACTTATCAGGTGAGCCCATCCAATCACTCAGGTGTGCCTATTCTCTCTTAAGTAAACCTATTTCGTCTATCAGGTGAACTCATCTATCAGATGGGTCCATCCTGTCTACTAGGCGAGTCCAAGTCTATCTTGTCTATCAGTAATATAAATAAATAATATAGATAATAATAATAATATTATTATAATTATTATTATTATTATTAGTTTTATTATTAATATTATTATTAGTATTATATTATTATTATTATTATTATTGTTAGTTTTATTATTATTATTATTATTATTATTATTATTATTATTATTATTATTATTATTATTATTATTATTACTATGAGCCAGTAAGGGTCTTAGAGCGCCTGAGGAATGGAAGGTAAACGAGTTTAATCTAAGAAACAGGGATTTCTCCAACTCATTGGATCAAGAGCCTTTCACCACTAATTCTCCCCCCTACTCCGAATTCAGAAACTAGGACAGGAGTGCGGTAACCTATATTTAAGATCGAATATTCTACTCCTACCTTTCACCTTGACCTTAAAGTACACTAAGTTACTTATGCAATAAGCTGGCAGAGTTACAGCCACGTTAAACTCCCTCACAAACAGCCTGAATGGTCAATGGAGATGTGGTGTGGCTGAGAAGACAGGGAATAACAAATCAGTATGGTCAATGGTATGGTGGTTATATCAGTGGTGATTGTAACAGTGGTGATTGTATGTCAGTGGTGACTTTAACAGTAGTGATTGTAACAGTGATGATTGCATATCAGTGGTGTTTGTAACAGTGATGACTGTATATCAGTGGTGAGTGTATGAGTGGTGATTGTAACAGTGATGACTGTATATCAGTGGTGACTGTATATCATTGGTGATTGTATCAGTGGTGATTGTAACAGTGATGATTGTAACAGTGATGACTGTATATCAGTGGTGACTGTATATCAGTGGTGATTGTAACAGTGATGATTGTAACAGTGATGACTGTATATCAGTGGTGATTGTATCAGTGATGATTGTAACAGTGGTGACTATGCCAGTGGTGATTGTAACAATGATGATTGTAACAGTGATGACTGTATATCAATGGTGACTGTATATCAGTGGTGATTGTATCAGTGGTGATTGTAACAGTGATGATTGTATATCAGTGGTGACTATATCAGTGGTGATTGTATCAGTGGTGATTGTAACAGTGATGATTGTATATCAGTGGTGATTGTAACAGTGATGACTGTATATCAGTGGTGACTGTATGAGTGGTGATTGTAACAGTGATGATTGTAACAGTGATGACTGTATATCAGTGGTGATTGTAACATGATGATTGTTATCAGTGATGATTGTAACAGTGATGACTGTATATCAGTGGTGACTGTATATCAGTGGTGATTGTAACAGTGATGATTGTAACAGTGATGACTGTATATCAGTGGTGATTGTAACAATGATGATTGTAACAGTGATGACTGTATATCAGTGGTGATTGTATAATGATTGTGTAACAGTGTGACTGTATATCAGTGATGATTGTAACATGTGATTAACAGTATGATGTAACAGTGGTGACTGTATATCAGTGGTGATTGTATCAGTGATGATTGTAACAGTGATGACTGTATATCAGTGATGACTGTATATCAGTGGTGATTGTAATCAGTGATGATTGTAACAGTGATGACTGTATATCAGTGATGACTGTATATCAGTGGTGATTGTATCAGTGGTGATTGTAACAGTGGTGACTGTATATCAGTGGTGATTGTAACAATGATGATTGTAACAGTGATGACTGTATATCAGTGGTGACTGTATATCAGTGGTGATTGTAACAGTGATGATTGTAACAGTGATGACTGTATATCAGTGGTGATTGTATCAGTGGTGATTGTAACAGTGATGATTGTATATCAGTGGTGACTGTAACAGTGATGACTGTATAACAGTGGTGATTGTATCAGTGTGATTGTAACAGTGATGACTGTATATCAGTGATGACTGTATATCAGTGGTGATTGTAACAGTGATGATTGTAACAGTGATGACTGTATATCAGTGGTGACTGTATATCAGTGGTGATTGTAACAGTGGTGATTGTAACAGTGATGATTGTAACAGTGATGATTGTAACAGTGATGACTGTAGTATCAGTGGTGACTGTATATCATGGTGATTGTAAAGTGATGATGTAACAGTGAGTGATTGTATATCAGTGTGATTGTAACATGATGATTGTAACAGTGATGTTTATCAGTGGTGACTATATCAGTGGTGATTGTATCAGCGATGATTGTAACAGGGATGACTGTATATCAGTGGTGAATGTAACAGTGATGATTGTAACAGTGATGACTGTGTATGTCAGTGTGGGGTGACTGTATATCATGTGGTGATTGTATCAGTGGTGATTGTAACAGTGATGATTGTATATCAGTGTGATGTAACATGATGATTGTAACAGTGATGTAAACGTTTTACGATGTGGATTGAACTGTATATCATGGTGATTGTATAGTGGTGATTGTAACAGTGATGATGTATATCAGTGGTGACTGTATATCAGTGGTGATTGTATCAGTGGTGATTGTAACAGTGATGATTGTATATCAGTGTGATTATTATCTATGGTGATTGTAACATATTGTAATCTGGTATTATATACAGTGACATTGTATCAGTGGAACGTTTTACAGTAGATGAATGTAACTCAGTGAACTGTACATCGATGATTTGTAACAGTGAGACTTCATAAGTCAGTGGTGACTGAGAATGGTATGTGATCCCGATGCAATCAGATGGATGTCTGTTGTGATTTAAAAGTGATTGACTGTATATTCAGTGTGACTGATTATCACTTGTGCACCATTGTATCTGTTGATTGAAGACGTGTGCAACGTTGCTTCATATCAGGTGCAATTCATACTTGTCGGTTTTTCAACACACACATTACAAATCTGTATACTACTAGCAGACATTCATGATTATGGTACACAGTTTTCCACCTCGACGACTACTACACATGCAGGCACTAGTCACTCGTCACATTTCTACTAGCCTCTCATCCAAGTCATGTGCTAGCAGAGAATGGATGTGATCGAAGCAGATGTATTCTGTTGAGATATTATCAATCTTCTTATTATTGTATTGGATTGTGAACCACTTGTGCAACACATGGGAATCTTTATTGAAGAAACGTTTCGCCACACAGTGGCTTCATCAGTCCAATGCAACTTGTCGGTTTTTCAAAACCATTCACCACATCTGTCAGACACTGCAACATCATGGGATCTTGGTACAAAGACTTCAACGCTTGCCCAACCTTTGGACGACGACCTACTTACACAAGTGGCAGGTCCCACTGTGATCCCGCCTCCTCCTGCTTCAACTCATCTGACTGCCGTATATAAGCCACCTCTCTGGCCCTATGCTGCACTTCCTACAAGAGTGATGGACTGAACACATCGTTTCCAGGTTGAGGGACTGATTACCTCGAACTCCTCCTCTCCTTACCCATTTCTACTTTGTATTGGACTGATGAAGCCACTGTGTGGCGAAACGTTTCTTCAATAAAGATTCCCATGTGTTGCACAAGTGTCTCAATTCTTCAACTTGTCGGTTTTTCAAAACCATTCACCACATTATTATTATTATTTTTTTTTTACCGCTACTACTGCTACTACTAATACTATTACTATTATTACTACTACTTTTACTACTACTGCTACTACTACCATTGCTACTACTATTACTACTACAACAACAACAATTACTACTACTAATAATAATAAAGTATAGAGATGGACAGACACAAATGCAGTATAATGCGATCCTTTACTGACAACGTTTCGCCCACACAGTGGACTTTATCAAGTCACAAACAGATCTCTTGTGATCTGATGATGCCCACTGTATGGGCGAAATGTTGTCTCTTAAGGATCGTATTATAATGCGTCTGTGTCCTCGTTCATTTAGTTCCTTCGCTGAGATTGTCTAGAAAGTTCCGAGGGGGTGTATCGGGGTCAGCGCCCCCGCGGCCAGGTCCATGACCAGGCCTCACAGGGCATCACGGCCTGATTAACCAGGCGAGCAAAATAAAATACATACAACAAGCGTATAAATCTGGGTGGATGAAAGTCGGCAATGTGTTTTAAAAATCTCCTCTCCCATTCATGACTTTGAGTCACCTTACCCTGGAGGTGGAGTTAGTGACCCCCGAGGTTGCATCATCTTACCCTGGAAGCGGGGTTGTGACCCCCAACGTTGAGTCACTTTACCCCGGTAACGAGGATTGTGATTCCTGACGTTGGGCCACTTCACAGGGGAGTTGCCTGAATCCGTGGCTATAACCCCAACAACCTTTGTTTTACCCTTAAAGAGTGAGAGGATTTCTATATCCACTCAAATCTGCTGTAACTTACAATTTATTGATTCCATATGGACTTGGTTTTCACTTGGTACAGGAGACTTTAGGATTTTTTATTTTATCTCTAATATGGCAACAAATTAATCACGTTTCTTAAGGATAATGAGTAACCACAATGTTCTTGTTTTTTGTAAATCTTCCTATATCTTCTAATCACTATTATTTAATGTTTTCAGGATATTTTATATCTCAGTATAACACTGATGAATTTACACACGGAAATACACTGTTACTAGATTATATTCGAAGGAATCAATTAAACATTTGTAAACAGAGGTTTTTAAGACAGAGAAAAGGCAGTATTTTTCTGGTTTAATTTATTTTCTCATCATCAGATAAAGTTCAAGAAGGTTTAAGTTTATTTTTTCTAAAGAAGTGATGGATTTGCACAAGTTTAATAAACTTTTCTTTCTCTTTCAGACAACGACACAACTCAAAATTCTTCTCGAGCGAAGGATCTCTACAGGACATTAAGTTCCCACCGTCTTTCCGGATCAACAGGAACTACTCCTTCCCGACACGTTCCAGCATCCACGCCCCTAGAGCACCCAACAGGAAGCGCGTCATCTCCAGCCTTAAGAAGGGAGCATCAGCCATAAAGGGCGCCATCCCCACCATCAAAGATGTTAACATTATCGACAAATATTCCAGAGTGATCTTTCCACTCTCTTTCATCTTCTTCAACACAGTATATTGGTGCTTCTATATCCTCTAGAGACGGAGCGGGGAGTGGTGGCCAATGGAGACTGCTGACGCTTGGTGGGTGTGTGTCCGGGTATTCTTTACCCTTTTTACTTGTGTCTCCAATTTACACTGGCGACTGGAGATCTCTGCTGCTCCTCCTAGCGATGCTACCTGGTGGCCTCCCTACCCTAGCCCCCTCCTTGCTTTCCTTCTGCATTTATGGCAAGAACAATTCGGAACCTTCCTTCTTCAGTGCAAGTTCTATTGCCTTCTGGCCTGAACTCTGCGCCAGGAACAATTGTGATATGACTAACTGATGCCGAGAAATGGGTATTTTAAAGATTCTCAGTGCTTAATATTATATAATGTAATAGACTAAATGACTCGCCAGGCGGTGTCACTAGTACTCGTGTGGGGATTAAGAAATCGGTCAACTTCTGGTGTGTTGTCGTGTTCTCTGTGTCGTGAAAGTACAGGAATACTTCATGTATACGTTGTGTCATGTTCCGTGCGTCATGAAGACGCAGGAATGCAACTTCGCTACCAAGGATCTCACTGTTAGCCTGAGAGGTGAGCCTCAACACTGAGCAACATGGGGTATGTATTTAAATTGGCTTTAAACAGTTTTCTTGAAACAGTTATACATTTCGTGAGGTACTTTGATGCTATTAAAGAGTTTTTAATCCAGGAAATTTTAGCTCCCTTTGTCTTTCTTAGATCAAGCCTGTCTTCCCCCAGGCACTGTATGACTCACATGGGTTTAGTGCTTCCTCACGAATATTGCATTTTGTGTTTTATACAAATTTATTTTTTCAATGCAATGATTTTTTTTATCCATTTTACGAACTAATGTAACCTTTTCAAGATATATTTTTATTAAAACAAATATTTGCAAGTGTTTTCTTTTTCAGGATCATCATCTCTTATCAGAAGAAGGCAACTAAGGGAAGACGAGAGACAAGAACACCGCCTGCGAGTCAAAACATCAACCTGCAACGTCTGAAGGTTTACTCTTAATGTGAATACAGTCATCAGCTTCTGTGATCGCGCTGAAATATGACAAAGCTTTGAATCATTTCCTTTTTTTTCTTTCCAAGTTCAGATTTCCATGTGAAGTATGGTAATCTAGATTTTAAGTGTATTTGTTTATACATGATGATGGTAGTGTAATCATAAACACTGTACCCAAACCTCTCAACTGTCTGGACCTCAAAAGGGTAAAGTTTTCTGTGTATATCTGTGTTTTGGGTATACCAGGCCAGTTTTAATGTCAATAAAATTACGTATGGCTGGAGTGAGAGCATCTACTGGGTGACACATGGAGTAAAAATTAAAGTTTTGGATATCATTATTTCTATTGGATTTTAGCTCGTGCCTCTTGAGTGTCTCTCCCACTAACATATAAGAAGCAGTTTAACTTTGTACTATAACATGAATATTCAGCAACAGTAAAAGACAAAGCTACTTGGAGACCATTATCTCTTTCACTCGTAAGTTTTATCAGATTTTTTTACGTTTAATCTTCAACATTATCTCTTAGACTTTAGTGGGCATAAGATACGATTGAAATTGTTTTATATTTAAATAGTATAAAATTGTTAAAACTATTTTTTTGTTAACTCTTAAGCTCAGATGTTATTATTCTGTAACCAAGACTTTACCATTTCTTCCCGTTTAGGCTATAGATAATCCAAACCGATATTTATAGCTTGTCGATATCTGTACATTACTGTCAGCATTTTACAGCCTGATATATACGAGTAGATGTTCTTCAGTTTTGATAGTTTTTGGGGAGGTGGAATGAGGCTTGTACTTAATATTACATTCTAGCTGAAGGACTAACCCGTAGGGGTCATACAGCACCTGGGGAATGGAAGGCAATCAGGTCTGATCCGAGTAAGCAATTGCTTGGATTAAGAGCCTTTCGCCAGAATCAAGGCACCCTCTTTCAAGGGAATACATCATAAGATTAGGGCAAAAGACACGTCAAGCCTTGACTGGTGTCCACCTACCGTGTTCTTCGGCCGGGGACTTGCAGAGAGTCTCGTATCGGGCACACGTTAATCCAAAAAGAGTATTATTAGCCTATATTTAGGTCATATAAATTGCTATAGGATTCCTTACGACATGCGTAGTTACCTTTAGTTAACCCTGGCAATGGACTATAACGCTGTTTCATATGATAAGCGTTGAGCCTCACACATTTACGCTGCTTCACTAGGCTTCCCGTAGACACTGTGTTTTGTATATACTGTATGTATATGTTGGGCAGAGAATTGCTTTGTCGGCCAGATTCCAAAAAAATGTGTTATGTTGATTCTGCGTGGCAGTACCAATATAAAACAGATTATTCGGGCAGTGACTGGTAGGGACAGAACCGGACAGTGACTGGTAGGGACAGATCCGGACAGTGACTGATTGGGACAGGTCCGGATAATGACTGATATGAGCAGGTATGGACAGACAATTATAAATACAGGTCCGCGCACTAATATATTGGGACAGATCCTCGTAATGACTGATACTGACAGGTCCAGGTAGTGCCTGGTAGACATGTTCAGGCAGCGACTGGTAGAACAAGTCCTGATATTGACTGTTAGCTGCGCTGGCAAAGTAGCAAGCAACCTTTCCGCTCAAAAAAATAGATAATGTCCAGTTCAGTGAAGGACGTCTCCAATTATTTGCTCTCGTTAGCAGGCTAAGATTATTATTATTATTATTATTATTATTATTATTATTAATTTACTTATTTTTATTTGTATTATTTTAAATTATTATTGATATAATTATTATTAGTAGTACTACTATTATTATTATATATACCAGTAGCGCTACAAACGAATTAATCGCAAAGCGCTAAATTTGAGGGCTGAGTTTCACTCTGAGGAAACACGTAAGATTGCACTTCGTTTACTTTGTAGTATTATAAAACGGACTCATTGTATACAAACATATTAAAATATATATGACTTTCTCCTTGTTCTCTGTCATTATATTCAGGGATAAAACCGCTGTTGCCCGAAGGGCTCATACGCTTCCTGTGATTTGATCCGAGGAAGAGGATATTAACTACAATTCCTCGGATCAAGAGCCCTTCACTAGCTTCAAGGCCTTTCCTCCCTCCTTGAAGGGTCGTCTAATTCTTCTCATTTTTTACCATTCTTCCTTTTCTATTCTTTCTGTATGTTGTTTTTCTGTTCATATTTAAACTTCATAATAAGCAAGAATGGCCAGAGGAAATTCGATTTTAATTAAAGACAAATTGAAAAAATAAAAAGTCACAGTATTGTGGCTGGAAGAATTTTCAAAACCCTAACTTAGGAGAGGAACCTTATGACGTTTCACTCCATTATGGATCGAAATGTCACGACGGTCCAGGATGAGCCGAAACGTCATCTTCAGCGGATACAGACAAAAAAAGGAAGAAAAATTTCATAATTAAAAGAGATTTAACATGACATTTTATTGCAGTTTACTGAAAAGTTTCAACCATCAGAGACTTTATTAAAAATTTATTCAGGCGCTCTTAAAGAAATACGTTATAAATACAAAAGTTTATGGCTTGTGATGATGAAAATTACACTGAATTGTGAATGTTACTAATGCAATACGTTACAATAAATTCATTTTAGTACCTGAAAGAGCTAGCTTCAGCATCCCTTCCCATACAGACGAACTTGAAGTTAAAGACACAGCAAGTATTTACTCTGACAACATTTCGATTCTTTAGGATTTGTTTAAGACTTGGTAAAGATTTACACAGAGCGAAACGTTGTCACAATGACATCTTGCGCCTCGTAAGTGTCTTTGCTCCATCCTGTCAGCCCAACATGCTAAGTGAGCATTATGAGTAAATGGACCACACTCCTGAGAGTGTCTTAGTAAACGAAGACAGTGGTCTTGTATCTCAGTAATGCTGCTTTCGGCTCAACCAAAAGTTCCCGGGATTGAATCTTTGGTGAAGCGAAACCTACGGGCATTATTATTATTATATTAAAAAAGTGCGCTAAATCCGTACGGTAAGATTTACGGGTAGGTCTCCTTTTGCCTGCTGCCCCCATTCACCTTGCAATGGATATTTTATCAATATAACTTTTCCCCACCAACGGGGTAAAGTCCCACTAATAAAATATCTAAAGTGCTGCATGTGTTTTTATTCCAGAGGAAGTTGTCACTATTATAACCAGTGCTTCTAACTAAGTGTTAGTCGACTACTGTGGGTGGCACTCCCAGGAAGACCTCAGGACTCTGAAATAACATCATATTGCTCGACTTCCTCGAGTTATCGCAGGTTAAAATTCCTTGACTGATAATGATCTAAAGAAACTCTGTTTCAACGATTAATATTCTATGAGTTAATTAGAGAATGAACCACAAAATTATTTAAACCTGAAGGGCATAAAAGATTTATTTCTGAGTCATACTCCGACAAGAGGTCTGTCAGATCTTCTGTATAGTTTACTGAAGTACTGGAGCAACTCCTCTTTGTGTTCGTCTGTTTATACTTATTCCAGTTAATCTGAACGTGATGAATCATTATCCAGGGTTGAGGAAGAACAAAAAAGCACAATACCGTGACTGAAACATTACATAAATAACCCTCGCACAGGAGAAAGAAAGTTATGACGACGTTCCAGTCCAACTTGGGCCGCTGAGTAGCCACGCTGAGTGTGGCTAGTCAGTGGTCCAAGTTGGACCGAAACGTCGTCATAAGCTTCTTTCTTCTATCTGCAGATTGTGTACGGGGATTAGGATCTGCTGTTGGTTATCTTCGGATCGTTGCGGGAATCATCGTTCCCACGGCCCAGTCCCGAAACTTTTTTTTAACATCTTTTGAGGTCGTCCATTATACTTCCGTGAATAACACTCCCGAAATGTTAATTCCCGAACATATTATGACGGTTTACAATACCTTTCTTTTGTGTTACAAAAATAGTGTTGTTATTAAACACCTGCATTTCTTTCCAGTGCATATATTTCATATTGTTCTGTTCTCGCAATTAATGTTATTTAGTACTCTCCGGTCAGAACTTTAATCTGTAGTCAGAACTTTAGTGTTTATAAGATACATGTGCTCAAATTGACTTAAGTTTCACCACTATAGTACAGGCTTTTTTTTTTGTGAATACTACAATCATTAAAATCTTTTTCGTTCATTCACTTTTTTCTCCTTACTGTTTCTGTGTACTATCTTGTTTTCACAGTGTACTCTAGTGGGTGGAGCAATCCTTGAAGATCTTCTCTTTTAGTAGCTAACTTATTCTTCAGACCCATCCTGTAAACCTCCTCTGTGGAGATAAGTGGTATAAAATACCGATACGATGGAAAAATAAACACAGATGCAGTATAATGTAATCCTTTATTGATTACTTTTCGTCCACAGTGGGCCCTATCAAGTCACAGATCTGTTTGTGACTTGATAAAGCCCATTGTGTGAGTGAAACGTAGTCAGGTAAGGATCTGCATTTGTTTCTGGTTTTTTACCAAACCTCCACTGTATTAGAAATTTCTGCTTCTTGTTGGTTAAGGAGCCTCTCACTTGCTGACTGTGTAAAGCCTATTGTAGATTGTTAACAAACTCTTACTTTCTGACTCTGAAGGGCCTCTGACCTAATAAGTGATTATTGCTGACTAAAGAAGGTTCTCTTGCTGACTTAAGAAGGTACTTTTTGCTAACTGAATATCCTTGCTGGCAGAAGCAAGTACTCTTATTGACTGAAAAAGAGACTTTTGCTGTCTGAAGAGGGTACTGTTGACTGAAAAGGGGGACTCTTGCTAACTAAAGCAGATACTCTTGCTGACTGAAGAAGGTACTATTATTGACTGAAAAGGGGGACTCTTGCTAACTGAAGCACTCTTGTTGACTGATGAAGAGCCTCTTACCTGCTGAGTAACCAACAAAAGACACAAATCCCAAAACAAAACAAAAAAAAAATTAGCCTACCAGAAAAATAAATTTATCGCGAGGTGGGAATCTTTTAACAGTATTGTAAATTGGGTATAACTATGCTAGACTAGGTTAGCGATGTACTCTTTGTTGATTGTGCTGCAGGAGCTGAACTTGTCACAGATCTCATTACTTGACATAAGAGTCACGAGGTAAACTTTACATTATCCACTGCAACTATTGCTCTCATATTGTCTTTTTTTTTTTAATTATATTGTAATCTGTGTAATCATACTTTTTAGAGGGGGGTCATGGTTGATTTTTTTCTTTTTTTTTTTTTTTTGTAAACTGGTCTCTTCACGTATTTTTCAGTGTGGAAAAGGGACACTTGGGTACAGTTCGAGATTTTTTAAAAAAAAATATCTCCTTTTATGCCGTATTTTCCGGCATATAAGGCGCACGAGTACGTATATAAGACAGGCAAGACAACGTTTCCGAGTAGTTGTACCTTAAAGTTAGTAAACAACTGCTAAAGCGTAACCCAAAGTCTACCCTTAACCCAGACCTTGAGCATATAAGGCGCAGGCTGATTTTTCGAGACCTTTACTGGGAGGGGGAAGGGAAGCGCGTCTTATATGCCGGAAAATACGGTACTTGTCCTGAACTGTACCCAGGTGTCCTTTATCACAGTTTTTCAGTAACACCATACCATTTATAACCATTATTTTCTGTATTGTCACCTAATTTTAACACCATTTTCAGAGTTAACATTGTGCTCATCATTTCGGATTTCAGCATTATGTAGGACAGTCTGAACTTTATAATGTAAATATGATGTCGAAAGGGTGATGACAACAAAACTTATAATTTTCTATTGTTATCGAGTGTTTCCTTATATTTTACCTTCTTCACTGAACGAATTGAAATTATCTTTACTTAAAGATGGTATATAAAAAAAAAAACTTCGTGGAAAGAGGAATTGTTTTTTAAGCCATTGAAGGGCTTTCGATCCAAGGAATTGGAGCTTTTTCCCACTCTTTTTTTTTGGGGGGGGAATCCTGATTACGTCCCATCCACTCGCCATCCCCCCCCCACGGCGCTGCATGATCCTTATGGGTTTAGCGCTCCTTGATGACTGTAATAATAGCAGTACTGCTACTAATAAGAAATGAGAGGGATGTAATTGCTCTAGAAGAGCTTTAATCCGAGGAAAGTGAGAACAGCTCCAAAATCATAGCACTTCTCCAAAGATCTTCTTGAGAAAGAGTGCGTTGAAAAGCTCTTGATCCAAGGAATCAGAGCCAACCACTGCTTCCTCATCAAACCTGAGGTACAGTATATAACTTCCATATATATATTATATATATGTATATATAATATATATATATATAAATATATTTTATATTAAAATATATATATATAATATATTTATATAATATATATATAATTATTATTATTATTAACACATTCACTCCATCACTGTCTTGCCAGAGGCGTGCTTACACTACGGTTATAAAACTGCAACAGTAATGCCCCTCCTTCAGTAGTATTTTAGGTACATCCGCATACGGTTATTAATAAAAGTAAATAATAAGGAAGAGAAAATGCTAAGTATTGATGATTTCTGGATCATACGAAGAGTTAAGTAAGGATAGTTTAGCATAACATGTAGACAATGGTAGATGACCTTCATATTATTATTATCAGCAGCAACAGTAGTAGGAACAGTAGCAGCAGTTGTAGCAATAAATTAGTAGCAGTAGTAGCATTTTTTTTATTACAAAAATTTCATTCTTATAATTTAAAAAACGCACAAGCCACGTGAGTCATCGAGCACTGGCCGGTGGACAGCAGCTGGCGCCGGGGTCAGTGTCAAATGTGTGCGAGAATGATGAAAAAAAAGGTCAGTGTTGGTGCAATAACTCAGTTTCAGTCAAGAAATCACAGAGTTTGCAGTAATTAAAAGGCTCTCCGACAGAGCAGCCAGAGTGAGGAAGTTTGGGGCGTTGATTAGTTGGAAACTGATTAAATCCTTTTTTTTTATATATGGAGAACTTGGGAATGAGAGATAGCAGAAGCTTTAAAATCCACGTCGAGGCTATCTGCTGGGAAGGACTACCTCTCTCTCTCTCTCCACATTAATGACTATTTAGATGTTTGAGGGAATTATTGTCAAGTAGAAGATTGTGTCTCTCTCCCAACCGTTCAACTACTACTTCCCACCACTGCTGGCATGAAATAAGAGGGAGGAAAAACATTTCATACCATACTGAAAAAATGGCATGAATTTATAGGATGGATGGAAAGTTTGGACTACAACTACAGTAAGTCCTCACTTAAGTCCTACAAGAAGTCCTCAACGTCGTTGATGAGTAATAACATGCATTCCCCGCCGGGACCACGTTCGTTGTTAGGTAAGACACATATGCAACAGTTAGGTATCTTACCTAACAACCTGTCGGTATTTTATACCATTTTAATGTTCACCACGTTCGTTGTTGAACTGCCTGCTGGTTGAAGGTGCTCCTTACAGTTTTTTTTTTTTTGGCTTTGCAAACATTTATTCCTTGATTAAACCTTGTTGCAATGAGTGCTGAGGTGCCCTGTGCACCCCTGATGTTTGCATCAATTAGCCTATGAAAATGAAAATGTTTATTTCTCTGTAAAGCTTAACAATGTGTGGTTTACATGTTATAAAATATTAATTACAAAGAAGGCCACTAGCATGCCCAGGTATTTCGGGTAAGATTACTTTCGTTAAATGTTGTTTCGCTTAAAGTAGCAGTTGCCAAGAATCTGTCAACGACATTGATGACTCAATGTAATTCTGAGCATATTCGTTACCCCAGTCTAGCCCATAGAGCTGTATAATAGCAATGGCTCTATTTCCTGCCACTAGTTCAACATCTGGATACTGAGATACAGGTGACCGTGTGCCCCTGAAAAAAAAAAAGACACAGTACTGTGACTGGAACAATGCATTAATAATTCGCACATAGTTTCTTTCATCTTTCTCCATTCAAGGAAGGGTCCTTGGTGATGGTAAAAATCTTTTGATCTAAGGAATTGAAGCTATCCTCCCGTTCCTTGGATTAAACTTTATTATCTATCATCCATAGGCGTTACGTGACCCGTAGGGATTTACCATTTCCCCATGACTGTAGACATAACTAAAACTTGCGACTTTGGCTTAACTAGCAACGCACTTCTTGCCGAATAGGGCAAGCGAAAATTTGTATATGCAATAATTTAGTAAAAATCATTCTGAATCTAACGAAAAAAATATATTTCATTGTGTTTGTTTATTAAATCATTATACACTTATCTAAAATACATTTAACTTGCTTAGGCTTAATTAAATTGTGCTTGCTACAATAAGATTAGGTAAGTTTCCTGAGGTGCTTTTGGTACAAAATCATTAATTTTTACATTAACAAATGAAAAAATATCTTCAAACGTATAAGAGAAAATTTTAGACAGGACTTAATTTTAAATGAGTTTTTGCTAATTAACCAATTTTACTTATTCGGCACGATATTTGCTATTTCTGGAAGCGTTGAATACACGAGAGGTATCTGTCTGCATAAACTTTTTCCAAAAGACATCACTGCAGACATTTTTAGAGAAAATGAACGTGTTATGTCCATAGAAAATACATTTCTTATGGGAGACTAGTATATTTATACTATAAACTCAGCCACACTGCTTCTCTCTTGTTTTACCCTACGGTATTGTCAGATGAATACCTTCCGCTTGAACAAAAAATGGAAAAATAAATAATAAACTTGATGGATAATAATTATGATGATTTTTCTAAGAATTTTAATTAAAATTAAGTAAAATAAAATTGGCCGCTGTGGTTCCAGTATGATGTTGAGACAGGTCTATCTTATATCCTGGATGGTCTCTCGTGAAGCTTTAGATTTATTATTATTATTATTATAATCAAGGGAGAAGCGCTAAACCCGGAGGATTATACAGCGCCTGGGAGAGGGGGATGTGGAAGGCATTCAGGCTTAATTCGGGGAACTGGAGCACAGATCCAATTCCCTAAATCAAGAGCCCCTCACCAACATCAAGGAACCTTCCTTGAGGGGTATGAGGCTTTAGAGGAAATGATGTTGGTTATCCTGGGCGGTGGTGTTCGTCCGAAGTTCTGGGAATCCTGTCAATACTTGGTCGCAGTACAGCACTTCCCATTTCAAAGAGATGAGGAATCGTTATGTCTCAATATGACCCCTTGACAGGAATCTTGCTCCAAATACTAGCGTCTACCCTGACTGACCAGGCCAGCAGCAGAGCTGATAATAAAAAAAACAACACTGGTTACATAAGGGTTAATGAACATAGCACTGAAGAAAGATATAGGTGGTATTATATATTATACTTCAATGTCATTACTGGTTGTCTTCAAGAGGGAGCTGAACAGATACTTAAAGTCGGTTCCGGATCAACCAGGCTGTGGATCGTACGTTGGACTACGTGCGGCCAGCAGTAAAAGCCTGGTTGATCAAGCCCTGATCCACTGGGAGGCATGGTCGTGAACCGGGCCGCGGAGGCGTTGATCCCGGAATACCCTCCAGGTAGACTCCAGGTAGACCCGAGGAACTTAAGTTTAGCCTCGGCCCGCTATGAGGCAGTGCGGGTGGTGGTGACACATTAATGGTTCCAAGCAGTCTAAACAACTATGACACCCTTTTTAACAACTTTTTCCTCACAGTTATTAACTCTCTGGGGTAAAAACATATATATATATATATATATATATATATATATATATATAATATATATATATATATATATATAATATATATATATATATATATATATATATAATATATATATATATATATATATATTAATATATATATGTATGTATTATTATGCATGTATGTATGTATGTATGTATGTATGTAATTGATAAAGTCTACAAGGAAAAGCTGAGCAGTAATAAGGTTGCTTTGCAACCGGAATCTTTGTCCTCGTTCAACAACCTGCTGAATGGTGAATTAAGATAAGATTTGTTCGGAATTTTAACCCAGAGGGTTAGCCACCAGGATAACCCAACAAAATTAGTGCAATGAAATCACGAAACAAGTGATTTTAAACCATTTACCAAACTGCGGCAGGCCAGAATCGACCCTACGAACCTTGTACCGCCTCCAGAGACAGCACAATGTACGCATCACCTTACCACTTGAGCCAGCGATCCTACAAGAATCACGCATGCAGCTGTACTACATGTTTTTCTCGAGATCCGAAGACACTCGTGGCAGTGGTATCTCGAGGATTAATTTCAGCCTCTTCCTGTTTGAATACCCGGTTCAACAAGCAGTCTATATAGCAGTGAAATCACGAAATAAGTGATTTTAAATCATTTACCAAACTGCTAGACCCGTGAAAAGTATGGGTGCTTAGACGAAGCTAAGCTTCGGATAAGCACCCATACTTTTCGCAGGTCTAGCTCCATGGTAAAGTACTGTGGACTCTGATACAGAGTTAGCAGGTTCGAGTCCTGCTGTGGACGTAGAGGCAATGTTTGTAAATAATTTTGCCTGTTTGCGAATTTTTAAGCACAAATATATATATATATAAATATATATATATATATATATATATATATATATATATATATATAATTATATAATATTATATATATATATATATATATATATAATATGTGTGTGTGTGTACTCACCTATTTGTACTCACCTATTTGTGGTTGCAGGGGTCGAGTCATAGCTCCTGGCCCCGCCTCTTCACTGATTGCTACTAGGTCCTCTCTCTCCCTGCTCCGTGAGCTTTATCATACCTCGCCTTAAAACTATGTATGATTCCCGCCTCCACTACTTCACTTTCTAGGCTATTCCACGGCTTGAC